AAGGGGTTTGGTAGAATTTCGGTCCTTTTAAATTTGCTTATGCTTGATTTATGGCCGAGTATGTGGCCGATCTTAGAATATGTTCCATGTGGTGATGAGTAGAATGTGTATTCTGTGGTCTTTGGATGGAGTGTTCTGTAGGTATCATTAAGTCCATTTGGTCCAAAGTCACATTGAGGTTCCGGATCTCCTTGCTGATTTTTTGTCCTGATGATCTGTCTAGATTTGTGAGTGGGGTATTAAAGTCCCCAGTTATGATAGTGGTAGAGTCAATATCTTTCTTTAGTTTTCCAAGAAGTTGCTTTATGAAAGTTGGTGCACCTATGTTGGGTGCATATATGTTTAGGATAGATATTTCTTGTTGATGGATTGAGCCTTTTATCATTATGTAGTGGCCTTCTGTATCTTTTTTGATTTTTAATAGCTTGAAGGGTATTTTGTCTGAAATTAAGATCGCTACTCCTCCTTTCTTTTGTATTCCGTTTGCCTGAAAGTTTGTTTCCCATCCTCTTACTTTGAGTCTGTGGGTGTCCTTTCTAGTGAGGTGAGTCTCTTGAAGGCAATAGATTGTTGCCTGATGATATTTTATCCATTTTGCCATTCTATGTCTTTTCAGTGGGGCATTTAGTCCATTCACATTTAGGCTAATAATTGAAATGCAAGAGTTGATCCCTGTCATAAGTTTCTTACAGAGTTGATCCTGTTTATTTGTTGTCTTTCTTTGGGTTTTGGAGTTGATTCATGTGTGTTTTTAATCTTTTGCCTGTACTCTTGTGAAGAATGCTGTTGTTCTTTTTTGTTTTTCTTCTGTGTTCAGTACTTTCTTAAGTGTTTCTTGTAGAGGTGGTCTGGTGGTAGTGTAGGTTCTTAGGGATTGGATGTCTGGAAAAGATTTCAATTCTCCCTCACTAATGAAGCTTAGTTTGGCTGGGTAGGTTATTCTTGGTTGAAATTATTTCTCTTTTAGAACTTTGAAGATAGGGCTCCAGGCTCTTCTGGCCTGAAGGGTGGATAAATCTGCTGCTATTCTAATTGGTTTTCCCTGGTAGGTAGTCTGGCCTTTTTCTCTTGCTGCCTTTAGGATTTTTCCTTTCATAGCTACTTTGTTTAGGTGAATTATTATGTGTCTGGGAGTTGGTCTTCTCGTTTGTTGTCTTGCTGGGGTTCATAACTGTTCTTAATAGCCTCTTATAATCTTTTACATTTCTATGGCATCAATTGCAATGTCTCCTTTTTCATTTCTGATTTTATTTGAGTCTTGATTTTCTTAGTTCAGCTAAGTAAAGATATCAATTTTATCTTTTCAAAAAATCTCTTAGTTTCATTATGTTTTTCTGTTGTTTCTCTATTCTCTATCTCATTTATTTCTGCTATGATCTTTCCTTCCTTCCTTCTACTAACTTTGGACTTTGTTCTTCTTTTTCTAGTTCCTTGAGGTGTAAAAATAGGATGTTTGAGATTTTTCTCCTACTCCTCCTCTGCCTTCTTCTTCTTGATGTGGGCATTTATTGTTATAAACTTCCTTCTTACAACTGCTTTTGCCTTATCCCATAAGTTTTGGTATGTTGTACTTAATTTTTGTTTGTCTCAAGATATTTTAAATTTCCCTTTTACTTTCTTTTTTGACACTTTGGCTGTTTGGGAGCATGTTGTTTAATTTCCATGTATTTGTGATGAAAAAAATTCCTCCTTGCATTAATTTCTAGTTTCATATCATTGTGATTGGAAAAGATACTTGACATGATTTCAGTCTTATATTTGTTAACACTTGTTTTGTGGCCTAACTTATGATCTGTCCTGGAGAATGTCCCATGTGTGCTTGAAAAGACTATATATCCTTTTACTGCTAGGTGGAATGTTCTGTATATGTTTGTTAGGTTCATTTTGTCACATGTATAGTTTAAGGCCAATGTATTCCTATTTTCTGTCTCAGTGATCTGTGCATTGTTGAAAGTGGTTTATTAAATTCTCCTACTATTATTGTCTCTATCTCTTCCTTCAAATCTATTGTTTGTTTTTATATATTTAGCTGTTCCTATTTTGGGTGCATACATATTTATAATTATTAGATACTTTTGATGAATTGACCACTTTATCACTATACAATGACTTTTAAAATCTCATTTTACAGTTTTTAACTTAAAGTCTGTTTTATCTAACATAAAGTTACTCCTGTTCTCGTTTGAATGATTGAGTGAGTAAATGAATGCTGCAAATTGTTTTCTGCATTGGGGAGCAGTGCACTATGTTACAAGAGACAGCCTAAGTACTTTTTTAGTATACCAGTAAAGGATGATCATGGCCCACAATAGTTTTCAAATAAGTTGATTATTTTTAAAGTATTAACATAGCTATTGTGGGATCAATAAAAACCATTTGTACACATTTTTGCATTTATTGTTTTTATTCTGAATTACATACAATGTAGGGGAACCCTAACTTTTAGTGTTTGGAGCCTCTAAGTGTCATCATATGGTCGTATTTGAGAGACAAAAATGAATATGACCTAGTTTCCTGCCCCATAGAGCAGTTCCTGGGAGAGAGAGAGAGCCAGACACATAGTATAACAACATTTTATGTTATTAGTGTTGGGATAGAGGGTCTGTAGGAAGGGTTCATGTGGATGCTCAGAGAAGCACATTCCTCCTAGGAAGAACAGAAGAATCAATTAGGAATGAGAATACAGGGTGGGGAATAGAGAAATTAAATGGGATATGAGAGGGAGTGATGAATAAGGGGTAGTAAGGAGAAAAGAAGAGCCACAATGAGAAAACTGGAAAGTTGGAAGTAGGGAGCTGTGGAAGGAGGCTGACAGGCAGAAGCAGAGACCCTTCTGGAGGTGAAAAGAGGCAGGACCACTTCGGAAAGGTGGGGGGGGCTTAGACCTAAGGAGAGGCTTGGAGAGAGCAGTCCCCTTCTGAACTCTAGAGGATGAGGTGAACTGAAGTGCCTGGCTTTAGTGAAGACCTTCTGGGGGCTTTCTGGCTGAGATTTCGACACGCCTGACTCTACACGCCTCTAAGGTTTGAAGAAAACCTGCTGGGGATTCGGAACCTAACAGCTTCAAAGTGGTCGTGTTGAGAAGTGTATGAACCCAGTTCGCATGGGAAAACGTGAGGAGGCAATATTCCCTTTGGGACGCAGAAAGGAGAGATCTGGACTCGGTTCGGGTCATAGAAAGGAGGGATGCAGATCCGGTTGGGGCCGCAGAAAAGAAGGGTCAAGAAATCATTTAGGCTGTAGCAAGAGGGAAAGAGGACATAGTTCGAGAGAGAGATAGAAGACAGCATGATTCTGTTCAGGCTAGAGAAAGGGGGCAGGACCCTGTTTGGGCCACTGGAAAGAGGGGTCGGGAGCCAGAGAAAGGAGGGGCCAGAATCCCTTATGGGCAACTGAAAGTATCAGACTCCAACAGGAGAAATGAGGGGTTAGGGCCCAGTTGATTCTGGTTTGAATAGGGAAGAGATAGAACCTGGTAAGGTTTGAGAGCAAGGAATACACAGGAGGTTAATGCCGTTGGATTCAGGGGTGAGGTATCCATGTTGCAGAAAGAGTGGGCGGGCACTAACAGAGGTGGAAAGAGAGGGGAGTGGTGTTGGGGGAAGGGGCGGTGCAGAGACCTACCGCAGAGCAGAGGGAGGAGGCTTATTAATGGAAGGGGAGGTGCGGAAAAGCGCTGCAGAGAAGAGGCAGGCGGCACGTTGGCAAGTGGCGGTGCACGGTTGTACCGCAGAGGAGAGGTGGACAGTGTTGGGGAAGGGGTGGTGGGAAGTGGTACTGCAGAGCAGAGGGAGGGGGAGGTGTTGGGGAAAGGGTTGGATCAAGATGTGATGCAGTTAGCAAGAGTGGGTCAGGGGTGGGATGGAGATGCTGTGCTCTGAGAGCAGATTTATACAGGGAAGAACTGGTTAGAAACTGACAGGTTCACTAAAGCGCATGCGTGTTAAGGGCCTTGAAGACCGGGTTCTTTTGGGATAGCAGTGGGCTCGAGATGGGTCTCTGGTCGGTTCGCATGCACACTCTCAAGTTGCAGTAGGAGGCGTGGCGTGTAAAGGGACGAGGTCGTGGAACTGACCTTCTTAGAGGCAAAAGGAGCTAGGGCTAGGAAGCCATATGGCCTGAGTTTCTAGGTATGAGAACCCGAGTTGAAAGATTTTGAGCCCAAGATTAGATGAGACCCCTGCCGCTGTTCTTCAGGATAGGAGAGACATCTGATGAATCTTCCCCTCCCTCTCATTCTCCTCTAACTTAGGCCCATTCCCCTGTGGCTTGACTATGGTTTTGGGATGCCTGCATTCCAGGTGAGACCTTTGCATTCTCAACAGGCCATTTGTCTCTTGTATAATTCCCTGCTTAACCCGTCTCACCTCCCCTGCATAGTGAAGGTGGAGGAGTGGAAAATTTGCCCTACTCTTATTCCTTGTCCCTTTCCCCTTTTCCCATCCCCCTTCAATCAACCACTGCTCAGAGGAAGGCGAGGCCTTTGTGGAAAGGGGTGGGCTTTAGGGAGGCAAGATGACCCAGTCTGTAGGGACTGCTGCCTCTCCTGGGAGCCTGGGGCTTCTCTTTCCTCCAGATATACAGACTAAGACCGCAGAAGAGGACAATGTCTTGCTGATGCATACCTTGTTGGCAGCAACCAAGGACTTCCTAACAGTTACCAACAAGCCTAAGAAAAACAAGACCAAGAAGGCCCCCATAAAGGCTATTAGTAAGGCCGTGCCTGTTGCCCCTTCAGTCCCAAATGCCAATGAGATTGCCACCACCAAGCCCAAAATAACTTTGCAAGCTTTGAACCTGTCAATCATTACCCAGGTAAACCAGACTTCAGCTACCACTGAGGCAGCAAATACTCAGGCTTCTTCAGTCACCACTCAGACTAAGATGAAAAGAGTTACTGCCAAGGCAGCCCAAGGCTTCCAATCTGCAACTGGCAGTGAGGATGTCTCTACACAGCTCAAATCACCCTTGCAGGTCCTAAACCTACCAGTCATCTTGCAGACTATTCAGACTATTCAGGCTCCATCTGCCAGTGAATCAGCCAATTCCCATGCCTTGATAACCTCCACCAAGCCTTAGACAGCTGCAAATAAGGCCATATTTAATGTCACTGAGATGTCACTGACTCCAACTACCACCCATACAGCTACCATCCAAGTCCAAATTATCAATGAGACAACCAATGACACAACCAATATCCAGGCCACAACAGTCTCCATCCAAACCAAGAAAGCCTTCAATGCCAAGAAGACAACCGCTAAGGCCATAAATATTGACACTGAGCATTTAGAGGTTCCAGATGTCACCGAGGCAGCTACTAGGCAGATTGAGGCCTCAGTAGCAGCTGTCTGGCCCCCAAAATCCAAGGGCGAGAAGACTGCCAATAAAAGCCCAAATTCTGCCTCTGAGATCTCTGAGGCCCTACTTGCCACTCAGATGGTCACAAACCAAGCTAGCAGTCACTCTTCCTGTCAAAAGAGAGTCTAGGGCTTGGAAGGCCGTCACTAAGGCTTGGGCAACTGAAAGTCAGATTCAAATTGCTGACCAAGGGGTCCAGGCCAAGATGGCCACCATTCAGACCAGCATAAGTGCCCTTGAGACTCAGGCTGCTGATGCTGTTCAGGCTCTGGCAGATGACTATCTGGCTCAGTTGAGTCTGGAGCCCACAACCAGGATCCAGGGCAAGAGGAACCGCAAGGTGAGATCTCTGACATCGCCATCCTTAACTTTGTGTTTCTTTTCCATTCCTATTCTTATAGAAAAGTTTACTGAGCCTTTTTACTTTGTGCTAGTCCCTATGTTCAGATAGGCTGTGAAAGATACTGAGATGAATGTGATATAGCTTATGCTCCCTGGAAATTCAAAGATTGGCGAGGAAGTAAGACGTCCATACACTCAGCTACAACCTGTATGGAATCCAACTTGTACTGACATAGTAGTTACCATGTGCCAGGATTTATGTTGGGTACATTTGCACAGGCTATGTCTTTATGTCTTGAAAGTAACTCTTACCAGTGAGAGATCATAGGACCCAGTTTTACACATACGAAAACTGAATTTCAGAAATGTAAAATAACTTGCCCAAGTGATTCCAGCTGGCAGAATCAGTGGTGGCCAAAGGAAGAGGAGGAAGCCCCAGGCCCTATCCTTGGGTTGCTCCTGGCATGGCAGGGAAATGAAACTTCTGCCTGGAAGATAGTGAAAGACAAGCTGAGGACTCAGGGTGGCCAATGGCAGGGTCAAGCCCCAATACGGGGTAGTGTATATGGGGACTTTCTGGAGGAGTCAGGATGAGGAAGACAGAGCCATCTCTTTTAGTTGGTGACTCTGAACCTTCTTTCAGATGATGAAGTCCAAGCATCTGAGTGGGGATGAGAGATGTGGCAGTAATTACAAGTGGAACCCATGGAGCCGGAGGTCTTCACCTCCCCAAGATGTGGCCATTTTGCAAGAAAGTGTAAGAACCCAGTGCTGCCCAGTGTCTTACCTGCTTTCTTCTCTGCCACTTTCCAAGTTTTTTGCAAACATGTATTCATCTTCTCCCAGGCAAATAAGCTGGTGAAATATCTGTTGGTTAAGGACCAAAGATCCCCATCAAGCGCTCAGGTAATGTCCTACCAATCTTCCTCCTTAAGATCTCCTCTCCATTACCCTCTCTTCCATGGTCTGGGGATAACCCTTTACCATTATGGCCTACTCATTCTCTCATATATCTACATTATGCTATGGCTGGTATCTCCCGCAAACACAGTTCGGGTCTCTGGCTGCACAGGATTGGCAAAAGGGCTGTAGCTCTGTGGCCTCTCCTCAGCCCAGCTACTCCCGCCTCTCCCTTCCCTCAGACATGCTGAAGGATGTCATCCAAGAATCTGATAAATATTTCCCAGAGATCATTGAACAAGCAAGCTACGCCCTGGAGAAGGTGAAGGGGCAGCCCTGAGGGATGGGTGCTTTGAATCAAGCAAACGTGTACATGTCCCTTTTGGGGGGAACTACAGAGACCCACTAATCCAAACCATCACTGTGCAGATGGGCAGACAGTGTCCAAGGAAGGGATGTAGACTAGTCATGGGTCACACAGCAAGTCAGTGGTGAAAACATAGCTAGGACCTAAGTCACTCAACTCAGTTCCAGCTTCTGTTTGCAGCTGGACACATCCTGCCATGTATGTCAGATGCTCACCTCTCCCTTCCATTTCCCATTCTCTGTCTCTCTAAATTCCAACTAATCACAAAAACGATGTTGATGACAATAGTACACTTACTGCATGTTTACTGGGTGCTGGCACTTGGTTACATGCTTTACACACTTTATCTCTCTGATTTCTCACACACACAAAACCCCTAGGTACCTAGGGAGCTGTGGGATACCCTGGAAGCTCATTGATATCTAAACTGAATTTTGTGATCTCACATATTACTTTTTTACTTGGCAGATGTTTCAAGTCAATCTGAAGGAAATTGATAAAGTAACCTGTATATTCTAATCAGCACTCAGGAATCCTCTGCAGGCATACTGGGAACATAAGCTGGGAAAGGGCTGGAGTTGGAGGGGGGCTTCTGCTTTTGTCCATGGTGCTGCCACTCCCTGTCCTACTTCCTACACATCCTCTTAGAGATTCAGGAAAGACAGGACCTCAAAAACCCCCCTCCCAGTTCCTGCACATAGTTGTAGCTTTGTGGGCAGTAGTGGTGCCTGAATATGACTAAAGGGTGTTTGCCTGGGGCAGGGCATTCCTGCAGTCAGATTTGCTGTCTCTGAGAAGCTCCTTCCCAGGAAAACAGGCCAGTTGTTGTTTGTCTCTTCCAACTGAGTGCCTGGCCTGGCCCTGGTAGTAGGTCTCAGGCGGGGGTTCCTGGTGTGGGTGGATTAGGATACATGAAGGGCAGGAATGCCAGTGGGGCTCTGCCTAGAATTCTTTCATGGTTGAAGGTCCTGGGAAAGATGAGACTCACATTGACTGAGTGCTTGTGTTGTACCAGGTTGACAGACATTCTTCCATCTTCTTGGCAACTGGGGAGCAGAAGATATGATTTTCCCATTTTACTGAATGGGAGACTCGCGAGACTGAATGAGTTTTGACTGAGACTCGCGAGTCTAAGTGCCTCACCCAGGGTCACATAGAGCTTAAAGTATAGACTAGGTGAAATTCTCCCATATCTCAAGACTCTGGGAGAGTCTAGCCTAGTGAGCTGGCTGGTGTGTCTTTTGCAGATGGCTCCTGGACATAAACTGCTCTGTCTTATTATTCTCTTAAGACAAAGGACACACCCAAGCTGGGTCTTCTCATGGTGATTCTGAGTGTCATTTTTATGAATGGCAATAAGGCAGTGAGGGTGAGTGGCTGGGCATGCTGCTGAATGGGTGGCCATGGGCTGAATTCCGTGTTCATTTTCTGTCCCTGTCTCCTCTTGCCTCTCTTTGCAGCTGTCATCTGGAAGGTGCTGCGAAAGTTCGGGCTGCACCCTGGGTATGATTGGGCTCTCTCAGTGCTTGCTGTTCATGTTGTCCTTTGGCAAGAGAGGATGGTCCCAAGATTGCATCAGCCTGGTGGTCTGGTGGAGTGTGGGCGGGGAAGGGGTGCTAGACTGGGTGGAGGGCCCCAGGTTCTGACCTGGGAGGATGGGGAAATGTGCTGTACTCTCTGCTCCCTCTCTTCCATATGTCCTCTGACTGTTCAAAGCTGAGATGTTAGATAGACCTTCAGATGCCTGACCTCCACTGATTGCTTTTAGTGGTTATGTGCTTACTACTTTCATTGCTTCATTGAAACTGCCCATATGCTAGAGAGGTTGCTCTTCCATGTTGGGAAATGTCTCTTCCCTCATCTGGGCAGTTCAGATTTGTGTTCATGGGTTATTTCTCCCATTGCCAGGGTGAGGCATTCACTCTTTGGGGAAGTGAGGAAGCTCATCACAGACAAGTTTGTGAAGCAGAAGTAAGTGGTGTTTGGGGGCTTTGTCTGGCCCTGAAGTGTTCTGGGTATACTGTTCTGATTTGGAAGTGCTTAGTCAAGTGCCTTTGTTATAATAGCTTTAGAGGAATGAGCATCCTGTGTCCTAGAACTGAGTCCTGTCTAAAATTTCCATGGGTGGACCTTTCCAGGACTGGGCCAGATTCAACACAAGGCCCCTATGGTGGGGTCTGCTCTGAGTAGGGGGCCTCAAGAGTGACTCCTCTTTTCACCACATAGCTACAGGAATCTGGGTTTGCTCCTCACAGGTGGCAGGATACTTTGGCCTTCCTGTGACATCATGTCCTATACATGCCTCCCTTACATAACTCCAAGTGACTTCTTTGCACAGGGTCAATGGGAAATGGCTCATTATTGTAGACCAAGATGATAAATTGTATTGAGTAGTGATTCTGGAGCTGGAGGATCTTGGAAATCCCTCTCCAGGGGCTGTTTAGTATTTGTTTGGATGATGTTGCCACTTGGTGCCTATTGGTTAGACAACAGGCTTGCTTGGTTAAAAGCAAATTTCATTTCCTTTTTCCAAGGTACCTGGCATACAAGGGAGTCCCCAACAGCAGACCATCTGAATATGAATTCTTCTGGGGCCTGCATTCCTACCATGAGACTAGCAAGATGAAAGTCCTCAAGTTTGCATGCAAGGTAATAGGAGCTGCCTGAGCTTTGCATATTAAGGGAATGGGATACCCCTGGCTGGGCCAGGTATTATGCAAGGATGGGCAGGTACAGAGCATCCTATAGTTCATATATAAACTTATGGAGGCTTGTTTATGCCCCAGAATGCTATTAGGTATATAGTTTATATCATCTCATTCATTCTTCATACTTTGTATTAATCAGCTTGGCTACCTTAACAAAATACCATAGACTGTGTGACTTAAAAAATGGAAATTTATTTTCTCACAGTTCTGAATGGTGAGAGTCCCAGATCAAGGTCCAGCAGGGTCAATTTCTGGTGAGGGCTCTCTTTCAGGCTTTCAGATGGCCTCCTTCTTGCTGCCCTCACATGAAAGAGACTTTTTGGTGTCCCTCTTTAAAGGACATATCATATTAGTTCAGGACCTTAGCCTTATGACTTCATTTAACCTTAATTACCCCCATAAAGACCCTATCTCCCAATACAGTAACACTGGAGTTGGAGATTTAACTTATGAATTTTGGGGGGACCCAAATATTCATTTCATAACACACTCTTTTACCATTTCCATATTATAGTTGAGGACACATAGACTCAGTGAAGTTAAGTAACTTTTCCAAGACCATATAACACCTAAGTTATCAGAGCTAAAATTAGATCTCAGAAATGACCCATAATAGAGCCCCAATAACTAATAATTTTTAAAAAATATTGCTATTTGTTTTATACAAAGCCCATGGTAGATGGTTCACATATGGTTACAAGGGTTATTTTCCTTATAATGACTATCATTCCCATTTCAGGTGCAGAAGAAAGACCTCAAGGACTGGGTTGCTCAGTTCTGGGAGGCAGTGGAGATGGAAGTCCAAGCTGCTGCCATGGCTGTGGCCGAGGCTGAGGCCAGAGCTGAGGCAAGAGTCCAAATGGGAATTGGAGAAGAAGCTGTGGCTGGGCCCTGGAATTGGGATGACATGGATATCTACTGCCTAAAAAGGGAAGAGTTACACAGTGATGCTCAGGCCTGGAGGAGATTTTCATTTGAAATTGAGGCCAGAGTCCAAGAAAATGCAGATGCCAGCACCGACATCGACTTCAGCAGAGGAGCTAGTGCCAGGGCAGGCTTCAACAACGGTGCTAGTATTAGTTTCAGTGGTTCACTCAGCCCCGGTTCTGGTTTTGGTGGTGGAGCTGGCATTGCCTTTGGTGGTGCACCCAGCACCAGTACCAGCTTCAGTGGTGCAGCCAGCATTAGCTTTGGTGGCATACCCAGCATCAGCACTAGTTTCAGTGTTGGAGCCAGCATTAGCTTTGGTGGTGCACTCAGCACCAGCTCTAGTTTTAGCAGTGAAGCATGCTCTGGCTTTGGAGGCACAATCAGCACCACTGCTGGCTTTAGTAGTGCACTCAGCACCAGCACTAGCTTCAGCAGTGCACCCACCACAAGCACGATCTTCAGTGGTGCACTTAGCACCAGCATTGGCTTTGGAGGCACACTAAGCACCAGCATCTGTTTTGGTGGCTCTCCTAGCACCATTGCCAGCTTTGGCGGTGCACTAAGCACCAGCATCTGCTTTAGTGACTGTCCCAGCACCATTGCTGGCTTTAGCAGGGGACTCAACACCAGCACTAATTTTAGCAGTGCCATCAGCACCTGCATCGACTTTGGGAGTGCACTAAGCACCAGTGTCTGCCTTGATGGCTGTCCCAGCACCAGTGCTGGCTCTGGCAATGCAATCAGCACCAGTGCCAGTTTGGGTGGTACTGTCAACACTGTTCTGGCTTCAGTGGTGCACTCAACACCAACCCTGGCTTTGGCAGTACATTAAGAACCAGGCTGGGTTCAATGAGGCACTTAGTACCACTACTGACTTTGGCAGCACTCACAGCAATAGCATTGGTTTTGGTGGAGCTCCCAGCACCAGCCTCTGCTTTGGCAGTACGTCTAACAACAACCTGTGCTTTGGTGGCCCTCCTAGCACCAGTGCCTGCTTTAGTAGTGCTACCAGTGCCAGTTTTGGTGATGGACTCAGCACCGGTGCCAGTTTCAGCTTTGGTAATGGGTTAAGCACCAGCTCTGGCTTTGGTAGTAGACTAGGCACTAGTACTGGCTTCCATTGTGGACTAGGTACCAACACTGGCTTCGGTGGTGGACTGGGCACCAGTGCAGGTTTTGGCAGCATGCTTGGCACCAGTGCTGGCTTCAGTGGTGGATTCAGCATCAGTGATGGCTTTGGAGGTAGGCCTAATGACAGCTTTGACAGAGGACTTAGTACAATAATTGGCTTTGGCAGTGGTTCCAACACCAGCACTGGCTTTACTGGTGAATCCAGCCCCAGCACTGGCTTCAACAGTGGACCCAGTTCTATTGTTGGCTTCAGTGGTAGACCAAGCACTGGTGCGACTTCTGCAGTGGACCAAGCACTGGTGGCTTCAGTTGGACCAAGCACCAGTGACTTTGATGGTAGACCAAGCACCAGTGGCTTCAGCAGTAGACTGAGCATTGGTGCTGGCTTTGGCGGTGGACCAAGCACCAGTGCTGACTTTGGTGGTAAACCAAGCACCAGTGTGGGCTTCAGCAGTGGGACCACCAGCCTTGGTGCCTGTGGCTTCTCCTTTGGCTAATGAAGTTTTAGGTAATTGCAATATTTCCATAGCTAGGGCCCACAGGGATGGGTATGAGCTGAGAAATATAGTAAGAAACTCTGAGGCAGGAGGGCAGGGCAGGAAGATGAGGGTAACAGTGGAAGTATGAGAACTCCTGGCCTCAAGCAGTCCTCCCACCTCAGCCTCCCAAAGTGCTGGGATTACAGGCGTGATCCCAGTAGTGAGCCACCTCGTGGCCAGGAAGTATGAGAAAACAGTATATTTGGCGCTAAAATGTGTTCCTATTTGTTTTGTTTTCAGGTTTATTTCCCATGTTTACAGATACTGCTAATGAATTGCAGTGGGCCTTTCCTTGGAGCCAAGGTACATCCTCAGAAGCTTTGTCCACATAAGAGTCTAAGTGGCTGTGATCAATCAGCTGAAGGTGTCATGCTATGACAAATGTTTGCTGTTCCTGCTTTATTGTTTGCTTTCTGTGTGCTTTCATTATTTTGGTATCAGTGTTGCATTACATTTGCAAAATGAATTGGAGGGTTTTTTTGTCTTTTAATGTGCTTAGGTAGTTGTGGAGTGGCATTTGGGTTCATAGAAGAGCTGGAGATCAGCATAGCTCTTTAGGGAACATGGGGCTCCACTTTCAACTTAAAAGCCAGTGTGGCTTCAGCATGATAGAAGCCTGGAGGAAGAACTGCAGGCAAGAGCTTGAGCAAAGATATGGAGGGGGAGAGTCTGGAGGAGAAGGCAAAGAGAGAGGGATCTGGACAGTAAGCACAGATTGATTTTGAGTCATTTGTGTAAAAATGGAGGGACAGGGGATAACTAGGGGTCAACACAGAAACAAGGGGGGGCGGTTTCCTTGGGATAGGAGAGAAAGATTTGCATAAACTACAGGGCAAATGTCAATAGAGAGGGACAGGAGATAGATATGGAAGAGTCAGGAGTTAACTGAAGTAGCCCATCCCTGAGAAGGTGGGATGGAATAGGGTACTAGAGAATACAGGGTGACCCTGATTTTGAATAGGATTTAAGGGTAGTTGTGGAAGCAGCTAAATATAGATCTGCTTTAAGCAGTGATCAGTGACCCCAAGGACAAAGGCTCTAAGGAAAGGGCTGCTGCAATTCATTATCTGTAAACATTGGAAATAAACCTGAAAACAAAACAAATAGGAACACATTTTAGAACCAAATATACTGTTTTCTCATACTTCCTGGCTGGGAGGTGGCTCACTACTGGGATCACGCCAGTAATCCCAGCACTTTGGGAGGCTGAGGTGGAAGGACTGCTTGAGGGTAAGAGTTCTCATACTCCCTTTGCTGTAGTAGATCCCAGCAAAAACAAGGGATGTGGATTATAAAAGGTTTGGGTCTAGCTGGGTGGTTGTGATGGAAGGACAAGGGAACAAAGGCAGTGAGTCTATGAGTCTATCTCTTTACCACTGGGTCACTGGTACGTGGCCCATAGTAGGTGTATAGAGAGTGGCTGAAGAGATGGCCCATAGGGTCCAAACTGGTAAGGGATGGAAGAACACTGAGGATGGATTAGGAGACAACAGACTATACTCTTGATACATTATAACAGCAAATATTGTTCATTCAAGTAACACTACATACATGCCTACTGTATGGAGGCACACTGCTAGGGATCCTGTGGATGACACAAAGAGTTGTAAGGACAAAGGTAAGGCATGGACAGTGGTCAGACAGTGGGATACTTGCATTTAAGAATTCAGACTGGAGAGCTGATGCCAAGGTCCATGCAGTGGTGACTGAAGGGAAGATGACTCCTGGAATTGAAGGGGTCAGGGGACTGGGATGCCAGGGTATTAGTTGGGTCATTCATATGGATAGTGAAATCACTCAGAATGGCAGCAAGAATTGAAAAGGGAGGAGCACTTGACCCAAGTGCCAGATTCTTTTCTGAGTGTAAGGAGGGAGGCATTGTACCCCCAGCCACTTTGCCAACAAAGGAACAAAACCTACGGGCACTCTGCTCACAGGGACCTATCTTTTCCCCATTTTTAGAGATGCTACCTCATAACTCTTCCCTCCAGAAGTCCTCATCCACTACATTCTCCCACAGCACCAGAGCTGGGTCAGGATCAGGTTCTTGAGAACAATGGGAAAATCCTCATTATGTCCCCCTCTCCAGGCAGACGTCTTTATTGATTAGAGAATAGAAGTTAAGAAAGAGCTTCATTCAGAGAAATTCCTTGGTTGTGGCTAGGAACTGAGACTTGTTTTGGAGCAGTTGAAGACTTTTTCACCAGAATCAGGGCTCCCCAGTGAAGTCAAGGACAGAGTCTTCTCAGAATAGGGTAGAAGAAGAGCAAGGATAGCATTTCCTAAAGATGGAAGGCGATGAGTACACAGGCAGTCTGACTTCTTGGAAAGGACTCAGTAGTGGGCAGGGACTGTGTCCAGGGCTTCCTCAGGTTCCCGGGTGATGTCTACATTCTGAGAAGAGAGCCCAGGATTAACAGGAAGCAGACAGCAGTGTAGGGCCTCTAGTTCTTCCCCTGACTCTTGCAGTCACTGCCAGATTTCCCTTCTTCAGACAGGCCTAGATTCTGACTCTCTTGCAGGTCTGGGGGAATCTCTGCCTGAGGCCTTTTGGCAGGGGTGCCTCAGCCCTGCATCTCCATGGTGCCTTACATCTGGGCTGTGGTTCCTGCATTTCTGAGAGCTGGTTATTCCACCTGTTGGTACAAAACACCCGGGCTCTGTGGGGTTGGGGCAGCCTTTCTGTGGGGTATGGTGCTTTCTCCGTGTACTGTATCCACAGCCAGCTTGGGCCACAGTGTCCCCCACCTACCTCAGGCTTCTCCCGGTGTGTGTTCACGGCCTCCACATTCAGGTAGATGGACTCCACTTTGCAGCCTCAGAAAAGAACAACCCATCTGTCCATAAGCCCCCAAGGTAAGTACAGGTCTCCCCTGAGGTATCAATTTCCCCATCACCACCCACATCTAGCTCCATACTGTGTGCAGATTGTGACTTCCCTGCAGGGAGGGGAATTTAGACAGCTGTGTGATGCATGTAGACACCAGGCCTGAGAGGCAGCCAACAAGGCGTCCTCCCCAACAGTCTTAGTTCTCGAGCTTCAGTTGCTCATTGGTAAATGGGGATGGGGATGGGAGAAGATGAACTCTTTGGCCTCCTGCCAGCTCTTATGGTCTGGGAGAAAGCAATCTCATCTATGTAATACTGATGGAGCTCTGTGGATACTCCAAGCCATTTTAGGTGCTGAAGAGGTGGAAGAGTCCTGGGGCCACTGCCTTGGGTGATCAGTCCCAGGCAAAGCTTATCTAGAGGAGAATGTGGTTACAGCAACATTAGGGGTGTGAAAGGGCAGGAGGGAGTTCTAGGGAACCTGAAGAAGGAGGAGGTACCTCATTGGGGCCTGGAGCTGGCAGAGGAGGCCCAGTGGCTACGGAAGTTCCCTTAGCCCCATCCCTTTCAACTGTACCTTACTCTAGGATTCAGTAGACCATTATGCCCTGTTCACACTGCAGAACAGATTTGAGTCTGTTCCTTCCCTGCACCTGAACTTTTCATAGCTAACTAATGCCCCAAGAATGTCTAAACTGACCAGGCTAGTCTTTGAACTCTTGCTCTAATATGGCTCCAACTTAGATTTTCCTCTGTTTCCCTTTGGGGAGCCCTACTTCCACAGTTCAGTACTCTATGCTCAGTGCTCTGGCAGAGACAGAGAAATTTGGAGTCAGGCCCAGATACAGAGACCATCCTATTCTTTCTACTACCACTAGTCCCATCTTTACCAGGACATTCACCCACCCACACAGGGAACCTCCCCCAGGACTCTGCTGGGCAAATGGTAGGCACTGGGGCCATGCTTATAGCCTCTCTATTCCTTTCCTAGATCAGGGTGGGGGTACTTACCATAAGCAACAGGTGTGAGCTTGAGCACTGTGTGCAGAGGGCACTTGAGATATGGAAGTTCATCTGAAAAGAAGCAGAAGGAGCCCTCAGAGACACAATGTGGGCCAGGGCACTACATCCAGAGGCCTCCAGGCTTGCTGGATGCTTCTCCTTTTACCTTCGCTCACCAAGGTGGGCCCCACGCCTGCAACTCAATGGGCAGCCCTGAGAGCAGGCTGGGCATGGAGGGAAAAAGCAGGGAGGCCAGCCTTGGAGCAGGGAGGAAGGAAGACCTTGAGAAATGAGGGAGGACTGTGGGTCCCATAGGAAGGTTGGGTCAGTTACCCCAGAGACAGCCGCCTCCTCACTCACAGGGTGAACAGGAGACCAAGGCAGACCCTCCTGCCACTCAAGCCTCAGGCCTTCCACAGACTCCTTACCACAAAGGTCTGCAGTCTGCCACAGCTTTTTCAGATTCAGGCAGACTGTTAATGTTGATTTTGAAAATATTCGCTCAGGCTAGGCGTGGTAGCTCACACCTGTAATCACCAAGTGTTCTCTGAGACCCTGCTATGCTCCAGGGTCCATGGCAGAAGGGCACATGGTGCTTGACAGCTCCCACAGCCATCTCCCAGCCTGGCCTGCTCTATCCAACGATGCATACACTTGCCGAATGGACATTCAACTCGATTCACTTTCCTCAATTCCAGTTACTGACATTATGGATAAAATTGCTCTGAATATTTCTGTACAATTTCTTCTCTGGGCCCACGTTTCCATTATCAGACAAGCCTGAGAGGAAGGGACAATAGGCTCATTTCATGTACTCACCCAATGAAGGCTCCCAGAGGGAAGACGTTCCCTGAGAGTCACACAGCTGGGAAGCGGCAGCACAGGGACTCGAAGCCCACCCCATCTGAGGCCAAGATGCACGCTCTGCTCCCCGCTGAGTGGCTCACAGTAGCCTTGGGGAGACACATCCACCTATTGGGCACCCTCTGCTGATACCCACCCTCCCGCCCGCCTGAGCATACTGCTCCCCGGTTCCTTTCATTTAACCAGATCGCCACCCTTTGTGGCTTCCCTGACTCTTAGGTTCATTGTAGGTTTCTGAGGCCTGCCACTGCCCTCCCAGCCTCCTGTGACATCAGTTTGGACATTTTTTTGTGTGTGCATCTATTCTCATCTTTGTCTTTATCTTCACATCATCAGGCCCTGGGCCAAGGGTGTTTAGTGCACCATCTTGTTGCATCTTTACTGGTCCTCTGGGGTTCTGTACACTTTCATCAGAAACATTAGGATACATAATCAGAGAAGGGAAGTGATTTGCCTGAGGCCTCTGACCCAAATCTGTCATTCACTGCCTCAACTAGTGACCATGGCCCAGACTTGTCTCTCTCTGGTCCTTAGTGCCCCTATCTCACAGGACAGAATTGGACTAGATGTATTCGGAGGGTAGCCTAGCTCCAGGGTTCTTTGGGTCTGCATTCCCAGTCACATTGTCTCTCTGCCTCATTCCAGCACTTTCCTAAGTAATGGAGGTAATGTTCAGCCCTGCTCTCCCTGGCTCCCTGGGCAGTTGTGAGCAGCTAGTGTGGCCTATGCATGAAAGCAGGTAGGGAGTGGAGAAAGAAAGCTGACCATGCTCCTCATGCACTCCATGCATATCTGAGATGGAAAGGCCTCTGGCATGCACCTGGGATCAACTTAGATCCCTGACGCTCTGAGCCCCATGACCTTGGGCAAGTTACTTCACTTCTCTGGACCTCTATTTTCTCATCTGGACAATGGTAGTTACAGTGCCTGCCTTGTGGTCTCAAAATATTGCCCTGAAAAGTAGAGATGTGAACATACAGAAATCTAGCAGGGCAAAGACCACCACCCCACTACACATCCTATCACCTATTTGCAGTGAGGAAATTGAGGACCAGGCTGAGGAAACAACTTTTCTAGCGTCAAGTTTTCAAGTTCCTCAGATCCGAGTCTGGGTAACTCCATATTATAGCATCATAGAAACTAGCATCATAGAAAAGATCCAAGACTGCAGGACATTGTAGGCATTAAATATCATTTTGCATTGTCCTTAGACACTCTCAAAATATCCTGGAAATGCCCATACTTCAATACTCACATTAGGAATGGACTCTTAACACCTGAAGGTGATACAATAGTTCCTTGCCAAGGCACCTGCCCTAGTTTTCAGTTCAGCCTATGTAGTCAGTGAATAGATACTCTATTAATACAATGCCTAGATGTTTTTAAAAAATAGATGACCATTTGAAAACAATTTAAATGAAAATATCACTACCTTGGGGAAATCACCCCTAGAGTAAAAGACAGAAACCTGTGATCAGGATCATAAAGCCATGAAAGACTCTACTATCACCTGCTGACAGCATGCTTCAGAGAAATGCCAGCTCAGCTTTTTCAGATTGAGGCAAACTGTTAATGGTGACTTTGAAAATATTAGCTCAGGCCAGGTGCAATAGCTCACGCTTGCAATCTTGGCACTTTGGGAGGTCGAGGTGTGAGAATTGCTTGAGTCCAGGAGTTCAAGACCAGCCTGGGCAACATAGTGAGACCTTGTGTCTACAAAAAATTTTTAAAAATTAGCTGGGTGTGGTGGTGCATGCCTGCAGTCCCAGCTACTTGGGAGACTGAGGTGGAAGGATCGCCTGGGCCCAGAAGATTGAGGCTGCTGTGAGCTGTGAAGGTGCCACTGCACTCCAGCCTGGGAAACAAAGTGAGACCTCGACTCAAAAAAAAAAAAAAAAAGAAAAGAAAAAAGAAAATATTAGCTCAGAATAATACTGATTCTAATAGCAGCTAACATATAGTCCATATATCGTCATGAACTTTTCTAAGATTTTTATATGTTATTTATTTAAACATCACCATTATTCTCCCCATTTTACAGATGAAGAAACTAAGACCAGAGACGTTAAAATAATTTGTCAAAGGATAGTATAGCTAGTATGTTTAAGAGAAAGAATCTGAATTTAGGCATCCTTGTTCTCGATACTCTGCTCTTAACCACTAATATATAAACCCCTAATTGTTGGTATCAGGGGTTCAAATAGCATCCAGCTTGCCACAACAGGAACAGAGAGGAGGGTGGTACCTGAACTTTTATCCAGGAAGTAGGCCAGGAGACAACGCATGACAGCCTGATGGCAGATCACCAGTACATTCTCCTGTCGTTCTAGCTCCATTATAACTGGCTCCAGACGCTGAACCAGATCCTCATAGGACTAAAGGTGAGAGAGATACTTGGATAAGAAAGAGTGATGAGGCATATTTGCCTAGAGGGGAAGAATTCTAAACTGGAAATCAGGGAAACTTGGTTCTAGTGCTAGTTCAGTTGCTGACTCAGCAGTAGAACTAACGGGCAACTCATTTTCTTTTTAGGGTTTCAGTTTCTGATCTGATCAATATAGTGGACTAAATAACAATAACAACAGTAAAACTCCCCACTACAAAATGTCTTCTTAAGTGCACTGCTGACTTTTCAAAAACAATAAGTAAAATTCCTTAAATACAGGGTTCCAATACAAAGAAAAACATGGAAAACAGAGAACTGAGTGGATGTAAAAGCAACAGCTTCCCTCGGGGCATTTACCAATCATAGTAATTAAGAGGCTTGAGTTTTAAAAATCTTACAGAACTAAGAGACAAGGCCTTAGGTATGCACAAGGTGAGGAGTTGAGACTGAGACTCTCACTTAAATCTGAGGGCAAAGGGCAAATCATTACATCCTCAGTAAAGTATAAACTAGAATAAGTCTCTTCACAGGCAAAGGGAAACAACAAGAAAATGTATCTTTTTCTCCTTGGTTCTTGCTGGAAAAAAAAGGAGAAGCCTCTTATAATCACCAGCCTTCTCTCAGATGGGTTGACCATCCGAAACTACACTACCTATGTGGTTTGGAAAATAATATTAAGTTTAATAAAAAGTGGTCCCAAGTCATTTGCTTCCAGGACTGCTTAGAAGTAAATGGAAATTCTTTCTGGAGTCTCTCAACTCAGGCTGTATGAGATTCCCGTAGATAAATTCTTGTCAAACTGGAACTCACATGACACACAGGGAAATAAGCAACCATGAATAAGAATAAGCAGAAAGAATGAAAAGAAAGTCCTAAAAATTTAAGATAAGGGATTCACAATATAAAATAAATGTTTAAAATGTCTAAAGAAATAAAATGTGGAATAAAAATGTAAGGAAGAAACAAGATGCTATCAAATATACAATGTAGATTGGAAAAAACTAAATATAAATTCAGAATATTCATTAAATAAGTTGAAAGCTTAATGGAACAAGTAAACAGAATATTAGATACTCCTTAAGAAATAGTAATTTGGAAGATAAAGCTGAAGAAACTACTCAGAATGCAGCAAAAGATAGAAAATAGGAAGGAAACATTAGAAGACATAAGAATAGAGGCAGGAGTTACACATATCTAATATTTCCAGGAGATAATAGAATGTGAGAAAATAATTTTTAAATATATAATGCTTGAGAGTTTTCCAGAATTAATAAAGAATCTCAATCCTCAGATTCGGGAAGTCCTACTAACCCCAAACAAGATAAATAAAAAGAGATAAATATCCACACATATTAGAGTGAAACTTAAAAGCAACAACAATACAGAGACCTTAAAAGTAGCCAGAGAGAAAAGAAACAATAACTAGATGGACAGATTTTTTTAACCACAGTAGAAGGCCGAGACAGTGGGGGTAATATCTTCAAAGTGCTGAGAAAAAACAACTGTCAACCTAAAGTTTTTACTCAGCCAAACTATCATTACGATTGAGGATTCTCCCCAGGACATTTTTAGACAAAAAGAAGGGCAAGTTTACTACCAACAGATTTTCATCAAAAAACTTCTAAAGGAAGATTGAAAATAAACTCAGAAGGAAGATGAGATGTAAGGAGCAAGAATGAGCAAAGGAATTGGTAAACATGCAGTTAAATCTAAATAAACATTGACTATATACAATAATGTTAACAATGATAACAATGTTAACAGTGATAATTCATTTTGGACTTAAGACCAAGGTTGGTCTAAAATACAAATCAATTAACTATAAATTAGGAAAGGGAGTGACCAGAGTTTTAAAGTTCTTCTATTTTTTAGGGAGAGGATGGAGATATTGATTTTAGATTTTGTTAATTATACATATTAAAATGTTAAGAGTTCAAGCTGGTTGCATAACAACACACAGCAAAGAATTATTCCAAGTGATTTTAAAATACAATATTTTAATCTTACATCCTTAGTGGGATATCCACTAAAAATAAGAATCATGATGAAATCTTTTAAAAAATGTTAAGGGTAACCTCTAAACAAGTGGAAACAGATTATATAACTTACATATGGATGTAAAAACTCTATCAATCCTAAAGAAGGTAGGAAAAGAAAAAAAAAATAAACTAAGCATAGAGAGCTCAAGACAAGATAACAGAAATAAACTAGAGAAAATAGTAATTACAATAAAAGTATATATACCAAACATACCATTCAAAATATTTATTTTTTCAGTTTGGATTAAAAACAACAAAACCCAACTAAATGGTGTTTATAAAAGACAAAAAATAATATGCAGAGAAGTTGAAAGTAAATGAATAGATAGAAGTGAAGTAGGCAAGCAATTATCAGAAGAAATCTTCAATAGCTATATTAATAGCAGATAAAATGCACTTTTAGGCAAAAGTGATTATTGGGGAAAAGATGTTTGTCACTATGTAATAATAAAATGTACAATTCACTGAGAAGATATAATTGCTTTAAAATTGTATGCCACTAATAACATAGCCTCAAAATACATAAAAGAAAATGAGGGCAAATTAAGATGAATTTTATAATGTCATTTCTGAGGCTGAAGATAAAAATGTGAAAGTGTTGTTTAACTGTTGTTTTATCTTCCCAGATATGCTGTTTTTCTGATAATTGTTCCCAGAAATTTGTATCAGAGGTGGAGTATGACTAATAAGTGTTCTAAAATGTGGAACTGGCTAAGTGGAGACCAGACTGAAAGCAATGAGCATTCATCTCCATATGGGGACAGAGAACTGATGGTCTGGTTCATGTGGTGGCGAAGAAGTTGGTTAAATTATTAGCCTTTCTCCCTTGGGACAATGCTAACTGCCCAGAGAGGCTGGAGATTTGGGTGACTTGGCAACAAAATACCAGGAAATTAGAATATGTTGAAGTATTTCAAGCGTCTTCAGTGGGGAGTCTAGGATAAAGAGACAAGGTCTAAGATAAAGTGGGCCCTTCTGAAAGCAAAAAGAAAATCACCATGCACATATGAGTACGCGGCTTTCTAAGAAGTGGGATCTGTTGCCTATAAGCTAAGTATCTGAGACAGCTAAGGACCAGACAATCATGTGCCTTGTGGGATGGCAACTGCTGCAAAATATGCTTTACTTTGATTCTAAAGCTGTCTAGGCAACAATCCTGGAAGTTGGAATTAAGATACTGGGGAGAAGTCCTAGGAATAAGGCCATCCCTCCAAATCTTACCTCTCCCTTGGGATAGCGGTAGCGATATTTGTCTTGGTCTCGTAGTGCAAATTCTTCAGGGTAGTGTTCCTGGATTTCTTCATAGGTCATCTCCTCACAGACACCCTGAAAAAAAATTATTCGCAGGCAAACATATTCACAAGGTGAAATCCATACAGCCTTTGCCATAGTTCTGAGGCCAATGATTGTGGAACAGCAGCATATGAGCATTTGGGTCTCTATTAACACAGCTCTGGGTTTGTGCTTGTTGTCTGTGAGTGTATATGTGTATGTATGTATCAGGTGTGTGGCTGTGTGGATGTGAGAGTGAGTGTATGTGGATAGGTGTTTCAGGCTGAGTGTATGGCATTTTTCTATTATTGTCTCAATAGATCTATAGGTGCACAATATACATATAAGTATGTATTTTTAGAAATATGTAGGCTTAAGGGTTTGTGGTTGTATTTAAAAGTGTGTATGTAGCATGCTTGTGATGTGTACTTATGGTTTAAGAACTTAGGCCTTGTGTTTGTGTGTGTATTTGTCTTAGCATATGTTGTGTGCTTGTGTGTGTATGTGTATGTACAGGGTGTCTGAGCATCTGAGAATGTGCCCATGTGTGCAGCTCTGTAGTATGTCTCTCTGTGTGGGTTTCAGTGTGTCTGTGGCATGTGTATTCATGAATGTGCATGTTCCTCATTATGTCTGTAGTATATGTGTGTAAGTACCTGTGTGCCTACATCTGAGGTCTGTGTGAACTTGAGGCTATGTGTCTGTACTATGTACATGTCTATGGTATGCCTTTCATGTGGTATGACCATGTTAGGCATACATGTACAAAGACTGCACATGTGTCCATGATGAGTGTGTCCATATTTATCTCTAATTGTGTATGTCTGTCTAAGTGTGTATGTCTGTGCACCTGTGGTTCAGGTGTGATTGGTGTCTGTGAAGTGCATGCATGTGAGTATGCACACACTTGTGGGTGTCTGTGACTGTGTATGCAAGTGCATGCATGTGTGTTGTGCCCTCCTATTTTATAGCATTTTCCATCTCTCCTGTCTAGACCTCTACTTTGGGAATTCTGGCAGATAAAGAAATAGGTATCCACAGACATCTCAGAGAGGAAAAATTAGAAAGTTCCTAATGGTTTCAGAGTAGGCTTTGGGGAGATACATTCTCTTTACCCAAAAAAGGACTTGAGGTCTCAGGAAATGAGTTTCTTAAGAGTTTATGAGAGATTCCAAGTATACTGAGAAATCTCCAGAGGTGACGTGGCTGCTGGTGGTGGTGAGATGTGATGTTAAGTTTCTAACATTTCCTTCTATTTGTTTGAATTCTAATTAAACCTTCCTGTAGCGGGGCAGTGGCCTCTGGTTAATATATTTTGGGTCTATCTACCAGGCTTCCCTCAGGGGTAAGGAACTGAACCTTTGCCCCAACACACAAACAGCTCTGCAGTGTCAAACATCTTCAACTGTCATTACTTATAGAAGAAAGGTCACCCTACTAGGTACACAAGGTTCTTCCAGATTGACTTCAGCTTCCTATTCTGAGGCATGCTAGGAGCCTATTGCCTGTGGAAATAGCCACTGACTCCTTACAGACTTTAGGCAAATTGCCTAATCTCTCTGAATCTTATTTTCTTTATTTGCAAAATGAGAATTACAATTACCTCATAGAAGTATTTTGAATATTAAGGATAATGTATGTAAAAGATACTAGTACAGGATATACAAGGCACATTTTAAAAACTCAGTCAATGGAATTAAGTATTCATATTATTATTAACCATGGAAAGTAAAACAGAAACAAGCATCATTTTAAATTCTCGCTTCTTCCTCCTCCAGCTCTCATGGCCAATTCCTGAAAGTCTACCTCTTAAACTCTCTCAAATCTATTCCTTTGTCCTTCCTCTGTGTCTCCACTGCTACAGTCTTAGCATTTACACACACACACACACACACACACACACACACACACACACACACGCACGCACACACATGCACACACACGCACACTATGCTTCAGGCTTCAGCTAGGCATCACTTCCTCCAGGCAGATCCTGGCTGGGTCAGGTGCCCTGCCCCAACTTCTATGCAACCATAGTCTCATGTATCAGAGCCTGTATCACACGTACTGTTTTGTGTTTCTCTGTGTATTCCTCTATCTACCCTATTTAGCCTGAAAACTTAGTAAAGACAGGAACCAATCAGATTAATCTGTCTCCAGCATCACCCCACACCTGAGGTGTTCAACAAATGTTTACATCACATGTAGGGTAGCGATAAGCAGCAACTAACTCTTATAATGAAGAGTTTTCATATTTGCTTGCATATATTTTTCTCACAAATGTATGTGATATGTAGAACAATGCTATACAGCCCTTTTCAAAATGTGTATCTCTGTACATATATATGTATGAATGCACACACACTCACATATATATCTGTATCTATAGAAGCATAGCTGGCAGGCAAGCAAGTTAACCTACTCACACACAAGTTATCTCTACCTGTGGTGAAACTTTCGTTGATGCCTGACAACCATAATCTGTGGGCTACTGCTTAGTGCCAGTATACATACAGTTCAAGTAGACAATGGAAGCAGTTCCTTTCTCAAAGAGCTCATGGGAAAACCTGACCCTGAAGAGAGATCGGGTGGGATCCTTCACTCCTCCCTCTTCCTCACCCCTTGTAGTCAGTCCTGTTAATTTCACCTTTCAGACATTCCTCAAGTTCTTCTTCATTCCATATCCAATACCCCTATTCTTTTCCAACTTACCCTCATCACTTGCCAGACTAATGTTCTACGTGCTCATTCTGAGCCTTTTTCTAGCAAGTCTCCACACATGCCCATAGTGGGCTTTTTAAGAAAGTGAATCATATTCAGATCATTCCTCCTTGACCTAAACCCCATCAATAGCTTCCCATTGTCATTAGGTCAGCATTCAAACCCCTCAATATGGACTGAAGGCCGTATGGCCTGGCTTTCTTTGCAGTCCCATTTCCCTTTTCTCCAGACCTCACTATCACTGTCCCAGTCTCTCTGCTAATTTTTCCTTCAGTTTCCTGAACATTCCATTCCTTTTCTCATCTCTGAACCTTCATATGAGCTGTTCTCTGTACCCGAACTAAATTTATTTCCCTACCATCAGCTCATTTTTTCTGCTTAATTCACATCTAGCTTTTTTCAGGAAGCTTTTTCTGTAAATCCCCTGCCATCAAGTCTAGTCAGGAACACCCTTACCTCCGTAGTCCTTTGTACTTCTCTCATAAACCTTTGCCACTGAAATGTAATGTTCTAATTACTATCTGTCTTTATGCTTCATGAGGGCAGTGACTATGTCTATTCTGGCCTCCACTGGATCCCCAAGACACAGAATAGGGTTTAACACATGGCTGATTATCAAAAAATGTTTGTTGAATTAATCAGAATCTCCATAAGACATGGCACAGAAGCAACCCAGGGCATAAGCCTAAACTCAAGCCCCACCCTCCCTAGCAGGAAGTTCATCCCCTTCATCTCACCGCATCAATTTCATTCAGGGCCTTCCACTGCTCATAGGGGACGCCCAGGGCCTCAGCTGTCTGGATGGTCCTCTTCATGTGGCTGGTCCACACCTTCAGGGAGCTTATGCCCTGGGACTGAATGAAGTTAGCCAGGGCATAGGCATACTAGGGAGTGGAGATGCAGAAGAAGAGATGAGGGGAAATGGAAAGGTGAGAGAAGACAGTAGCCATAAAAACAAACTCAGATCTGCCATAGATGGAGTGGCGATGAACAAGCAAGAGTGGAGAGTTTGTTCCAAATTTATTAAAAAGCCATACATCCCCATGCGGTTAAGGGTCAAGAAAATAGAAAAGTATGCATGTGTGTCTGCGTGTGTCTGCGTGTGTGTGTGTGTGATTTACTGATGCTTGCTCATGAAACCCCCTTATTCGGTTACTCATTCATTAAAGCAGGCCCACCTCTAACATTTATGGAGCCTAGGACAAGAGTATCAATGGAGGCACTCACCTACAGTCTACTTCCCTAATAGTTCCATTTCTGGCACGATCCTGTACTTCTGGGTGCCTTGAGTACATGCTTGTGGATAATCCAGTCACATGACCAAGTTCTGTCTACATCCCACCTCCAACAACCCCCATGTTCCACAAAAAGCAACTCCTTGGTCACCCTTTGGCCTAAAGGTGAATACTCCTGTAACAAGAGCTGCCCTCAGGTGGATAAGGATAGGCCCATGCAGGCACTGAAAGCAGACACCGGCAATAAGGGTAAGAAATTCTAGAATTTTTGGTACCCAGAGTATGATCTGGAAGTGGGGAGTGCGAGATTTGGGAGACATTACTCTTTGGACGCTGTGACTACCCATTGCTTAAGCAGGGTTCCAGGCACCTAGGTTCTAAGGCAACACGTGCTGAGAGTGTTGTGTGGTGGGATATTCTTGTTCTCAAGACACAGCAAGGGGAGCAATGGCAGAATTGAGAGGAAACACAAAAGTCTGTGGGAGCCCAGAGGAACAAATGACTGGCTCTTCTGTGTATAGGTGTGGTGTTAATCACAGGTGTGTGTTGAGAACATCCACACGGATGCATAGATACAGGCACACATTTATATATACAGATATAGGCACTTCACACATACATTTAATTATGGGTATGAGTCAGTAGTCAGTGAGATTCAGCAGAAGGAGCCAGAATGGAAGACGGGAGACATGGATTGAACTCCCCCAGCCCCCTTTCATGGTCCCGTATGCCCTCCGACACATCCTTGCTCCACTCTGGCCTCATATCCCGCCTGTAAGATGCAAAGAGCATTGGATCCCCAGCCTGCTCTCTGGGAGCATCACTTTAGATAGTGGGTGGGGAGCACCCAGACCTCTGCCTGATACTCAGTGGGTGCTGGACAAGTGAGAGCTATGGTGCTGGGGGTGACAGTCGATGGGGAGGTGCTTTGTAAAGTGGCCTGGCGCTCTGTGCCCATGAGTGTAAGGTGGCACTGGCTGTATGTGGAGAGGATTCCCACGTAGAGACCGTCATGTGTCCAACTGGGGCTCTGAGCTGTGCAGGCAGAGCCAGGCAGTTCCAACCCAGACACCCCTGCAGGGGCTGCTGTGGGTGAGGGCCTCCAGCAGCCTCTGACTCTACTCTGAGGAATGGGAGATGGGGGAATCAGGGTTCAGAGTCTACCGTAAGGGGAGACTTCCAGTCTGGTGGTAACAGAAAGGGAGCTAGGAGAACCCAGCCTTCTGGGGCAGCACCTTGCCTGGGACATGTCCACCTCTCTAGTGGGGGAGCTGAGGCAAAGGCAGGAAGGCCTAGCTTTCAATCCTGGCTCTGTCAAGTCCAAACTGTGTGCCCTGGAGCTGTTCTCTGCTCCTCTCTGGCCTCAGCTTCCTCATCCTTACACCAGAAACATTCATGGCCACCCCTTGGAGCTGTGGTGCAGATTAAATGAGGCCACACAAGTGGAAGCAGATGGCAACATGACTGAGCATAGGTGTCCAAGAAATGACAATAATGACAATAAATGTCCCTCCTGCACTTCATTTCCCACTCATCCCTCCTCCAAGTGGTCCTCCCAGAGGGAACAATATCTGTGCTTACAAGCCCAGGTGCAGGGTCAAGTGCTGGGAACATGTAGCCCTTTATTTAGCCAGCACCCAGAACATGCATCCTCAGCTGGGGATATGGACGTCATGTTGCTCAGCAGGGGAGAAGAGACTCAGGCCAGGAGAGTCAGAGATAAGGCAGAAATGGGAGAACTGGAGCCCAGGGCATGGAGACCTGCCTGGGAGGGAGGAGAGGAGGGGGAGGGCTTCCTGGACCAGACCTTGGAGCAGGCTCTGGGCCTTGGAAGGGAGCTGGGAAGGCAGGAAGGATGCAGTCACAGATGGGGACAAGTGCTGCCAATGTGACATCTGTGGTGGGGTGGGGAAGGGGAGGGAAGCATCAGCCCTGAGTCGGGGAGAAGAAGGATTTAAGGGTGGAGCCCTCAGGGTAGCTGTCTGTGCAAGCGATGGTTACTCGCTGACAGAGGGGGCAGAGGAGGGCAGCCTAGGTGGGTGACACTGCACAAGCAAAGGGAGAGTTGTGAGAAAGATGACGGTACGGTGACGTGGGGGCCCGGGTGGTCACTGAAATGGGGCTGGAGACGCAGCCAGATTTGGGCAGGCCTTGGGTGACAGGGCCAAGCTATTAGACTTGTAGAGGCAGGTGGCATATGGGAGCCATTTGATGGCTGGGTCACAACTGAGTGGCTAATGGGTGGAAGAGCTTCTGCCCCATCCCTGGGTCCCCACCACCTCAGGACCCAGGCAGTGGCCACCTGGCCCACTCCAGCCCACCTGGGCCAACCCAGCCAACCCATCTTGGCTGGGTGCATGGGGCCCTCCCTACCTGCTTGCCCCGAGCTGAGAGGCCAGAGTCGCCCCCGATGCGGCCTCTGAGGTTGAGTTCGCTCTCACCATGCCGGCATAGGTAGATGGAGCGGGGTGTGACGTGGATGTTCATGAGGTAGTAGACTGTGCGGCTCTGGATGTGGTCCTGCACTCGGTTCACCATGTAGCGTGTGCCCACGTCAAAGATCTTGATGTAGGACAGGTGGCTGGGCCAGACCCAAGCAGGAGCAAGGGAATCTCAGGCGCTGCTAGTGGTAGAGCCCCAACCACACACCATGTTTTCAAGCCTTCACTATTCAGCTCTCACTTAACATGACATCATTCCTTGCCTTGTTCTGAGTACTTGTCCTAGATCCTTGGTTCCTAGCTACCTCGAAGAGCTTATTGTCTGCTACCATCTACTACTGTCTCCCTTCCTCAGCCTCAGCTTGAGCCAGGCTGTCTTTTCACCTTCACTCATCACACGACAGGCAGCTGAGGGGCACACCCCTGTCATACTGAGAGAGAAACAGTAATCATCTGTGTCCCTGGCTGTCTCTAACATCTCACTGGCAGCAAACCTGGCTTGTGATTCTCCCACTCTTTCAGATCCTAAGCTGGGCATTTCCTTCCATTTTTGAACCTCTCTGATATATTGTACTTTATACTCACAGGCAGTTACCAGGTTGTGCCTGTGCATGTGTATGCCTCTCTCCTCACTCAGAAAGGAGGCTGGTCTGGGTTCTCTATCTATTTGCCATGCAGTCAACAGATACACCCTCCTCTGTTCTAGGCATTGTGCTTCGTTGGGGTGGGAATCCATTGTCTGCCCTTTGGGAGCTCTTCAGCCAGTCAGGAACATATACTTGGAAACACATGGCAATGCTCAACATTCATTCCACAGTTATTCCCTCTAAGGTGTGCCAAGTGCTGGGGCTTAGGGATATATCGGTGGTACACAACACCATTGGGGAACTTGTGGTCCTTGCTTCAAGTTCCTTGTTGTCTCCTAAGTTCTGTACTCTGTCGTGAGCTAATATCCAAACACCGAGTGATAATCAAACTTTTCAACAACCTGTCTGTGGAGAAGCTGAGAAAATTGACTAATGAGAAGACGAAAACCATGGAACAAGACTCCTGTGGCCTCTGTTGTGCCAGGCACTAATCCTTTAGTTGTTGACTTGCAAGGAGTTCAGAGAGATTGCGGGGAAGAGGTGTGGGAGGCTGGGGCAATAAGGTGACACCAGCAACCCTGGTGAATTGAATGGAAAGAGCTTTACTAACCTGACGCAGGTAAGCATGCTGATGGGTTTGGTTTCAGAAAGCATCTTCCTTGATCCTCCTAGAGAAATGCTTTAAATCTGTACCACATTCATTATGCCTGGTCCTGTAATCCATGCCCAATGGCTCCCACAGGGCACTGGCATTTGTTGAACATTTTCTGTGCATCTAGCAGTGAATGAGGATTTTATAAAGTACATGTATCCTCATAATCATTATATAGAGCAGAGATTATCATTTCTGTTTTATAGGAGAGGAAACAGAAGCACAGAGAGAGGAAATAATTTGACTAAGGTCACCTTCTCAGGAAAAAGTAGACTTGAGATTTAAATCCCAGAATGGTTCCTTCTCCAATCATGTTTCCTAGGACTCCCAGAGCCTAGGGGTAGAAAATATCTGATGCAACCTTGTTGCCTAGTTACTGTCTGTTCCTTATACTAGGTCCTGCATGACTCAAGGATAACTTCCAAATTCTGCAGCTTAGTCTGATATTCTAGATGCCTTCACACACTGGCCCCAGTTGGCCTCACTTTATGGTCTCATATCCATACTCATAACTTCTCTGTTTCATTCTTGTCTTCAGACTTTTACTGTTACACTTGGAATATTTTCTGTACTTCTTTTCTCTTATTCAAATTTACTAGGCCATTACAAAGTGCTGTTCTCTTTGCTTGAAAAGATGTGCCTTGCTTGATTTTCAAAGTTGAGTTGCAAAGTTGAAACCTTCTTTGAGCCCAGGATCATGTGAAGTCTTTTAGAGGTGCTCCACACCAAAATTATTATAGTAGTTAATGCCCACTTCTACCATGTATAATTTAAAATAAAAATTATAAACCATATAATAATATGAAGAGGTCCTCCCAAGTTCTGGTATTATTTTTTCTACTATGACTACCTTGATGCTGTTTTTGAAATATCAAAAATTAAAAATTTTTAAGATAGTTTTTTTCTTATTTTTGGTAGCCCCTACCTGGCTGGTGCCCTAAGCACACATTTAATCTAATTATTGGGTAATCCAGCTCTTCTAGACCTTCTTCTTCCAAGTTAGCCTGGGGATCCCATGCTTTATGTTTCCACAGTCCACATATTCATTGTCTTCCCCCAACCAACTGGACATTCTGTCAAAGCAGAGACAGCCCTTTTCTCTTTGGATTTCATGTTCAGGACTAGGCCCCTGTACATGAACTGTAAATGTTTGTTGAAAAGAAAATGAAGTCATAAAGATGACCTTCTAGATCTGTCTTCTTCAGGGCTAAACTGATTAATTAAACACCAGTGTAGTACCTGCAGGAGTCTAGGCACACAGCTGGAATCTTTCTCAATGTCATTCTTTCACTTCAGCCCCTCTCCTTCAGACTCTTTTCACCATATGCTGTTAGCCTATATGGTGTCTTTGTGAAAATTTGAAGAATTCACACTTTTCTCGGGGTGCACACAGCCTAATTTCAGCACATATCTCGGTGAGAGAAGTAAATGTATCCTTGACCAGGGTGTTTGTACAATAAACAATGTGCACACTTGTACATAATGGCCACACCCCTTGCACTGAGCAATCATGTGACACCGAGCCTCATGTGACACTTTTTATGATATGAGAGTGTGGGAAGGGGAGAGCCAGGCTGAAAGTTTAAGGGTATGGATTTGATTATATATTTGCTATTGACTCATTGTGTAGCTTTAGGTAAGCTTTTTTTTTTGAGTTGGAGTCTTACTGTCGCCCAGACTGGAGTGTAGTGGCATGCTCCTGCCCACCGCAGCCTCGACCTGCTGGGCTCCAGCGTTCCCTCCGCCTCAGCCTTCTAAATAGCTGGAAATACAGGCGCGCGCTACCACACCCGGCTAATTTTTTTGATTTATTGTAGAGATGAGGTCTTGCTTGCCCAGGCGGGTCTCCAACCCGTGGGCTCAGGCAATCTACTCACTTCAGCCTCCCAAAGCGCGGGATTATAGGCTGAGCCACTGAGCCTGGCTAGGTAAGCCTTTTTATTGCTTTTTAAAATTTAATTCAATTTAAAGTTTTGATGTTTTTAAATTTATTTCAGGGGGTCTATGCACAGGTTAGTTACTTGGGTATACTGTGTGATGGTGAGATTTGGAACTCTGTTGAATCCATCACCCAAATAGTGAGCATGGTACCCAATAGGTAGATTTTCAATCTTTGTCCCCCTTTCCCCTCTCCATTTAGGAGTCCCCAGTGTCTGTTGTGCTCATCTTTATGTCCATGTACACCCAGTGTTTAGCTCCCACTTATAATTGAGAATATGCAGTATTTGATTTTATATTTCTGCATTAATTCACTTAGAATAATGTTGTGGCCCATGTAGTTGCCTTGAGGGTCCTGAGAGAGAGCGGCAAGAGATTAAGAAAGACACAGACACAAAGACATAAAGAAAAGCTGGGGCCAGGTGGGACACTTTCCTCTGATGGAGGAGAAGTGGCCCTGAACTAGCTCAGCATGTTTATTTTATAATTGAGCACAAAGGAAGTTGGGAGGAATTCAAGGACTATAAGGGAGCTATAATGGAGTTTTGTTGCTACCTAAATGGCAAGCTGTTCCGAGGTTATCTTGTTGTTGCTAAGGCTTTATCTGTACTATTTGCACCCGGATGTGTGAGCTCTGAGTCGCCGTTCTGTGTAGCAGGCTGCATCCCTTGATCTTTGGTTAGGGTGTGGAGCAACCAAATGGGACCTTGCCTTCACTTGGGGCCTTGCCTTTGGTCGAGGCCTGCTGTCCGGACAGTGCTCATCTGCTCCCCACAGAATAATGGTATCCAACTGCATCCATGTTGCTGTAAATTGCATGATTTTGTTCTTTTTTATGGCTGCATAGTATTGCATAGTGTATATATACCACATTTTCTTGATCCAATCCACTGTTGATAGACATCTAAGTTTGTTCACGTATTTGCTATTGTGAATAGTGCTTTAATAAACATAAGAGTACAAGTATCTTTTTGGTAAAACAATTTATGTTTCTTTGGGTACATACCCAGTAATGGGTCTGCTGGGTCAAGAAGTAATTCTGTTTTTAGCTATTTGAGAAATACTCAAACTACTCTACACAGGAGCTGAACTAGTTTACATTCCCACCAGTAGTATATAGCATTCCCTTTTCTCTGCAACCTCACCAGCATCTGTTGTTTCTTGACTTACTAGTAATAGCAATTCTGACTGGTGTGAGATGGTATCTTGTGGTTTCTATTTGCATTTCTCTTATTATTAGGGATGCTGAGCATTTTTTCATATGTTTGTTGGCCACTTGCATGTCTTATTTTGAGAAGTGTCTATGTCTTTTGCCTCCTTTTTAATGGGCTTATTTTATTGTTGTTGATTCATTTAAATTCCTGATAGAATCTGGATATTAGCTCTTTGCCAGATGCATAGTTTGCAAATATTTTCTCCCATTGAACAGGTTGTCTATTTACACTGTTGATAGTTTATTTCACTGTGCAGCTCTTTAGTTTAATTAAGTCCCACTTGTTAATTTTGGTTTTTGCGGACTTGGTCGAAACTTGTTGCCTAGGCTAATGTCCTGAAGAGTGTTTCCCAGGATTTCTTCCAGGATTTTTATAGTTTGAGGTGTTGCATTTAAGTCTTTAATCCATCTTGAGTTAGTTTTTGTATATGGTGAAAGTAAGGATTCATCTTCATTCTTCTGCATATGATTAGCCAGTCTTCCCAGCACTATTTATTAAATAGGGTGTCCTTTGCCTAATATTTATTTTTGTTGACTTTGTCAAAGATCAGTTGGTTGTAGGTAAGCAGCTTTATTTCTGGGTTCTCTGTGCTGTTCTATTGGTCTATGTGTCTATTTCTGTACCAGTACCATGCTGTTTTGGTTACTGTACTTTGTAATAAAGTTTTAAATTGGCATGTTGTCCACTGGTTCCTTCCTTCCTTCCATGGCTGCGGTATCTCTCCTGAGGGTGAGCAAAAGCACCTGGCTTCCTTTCTTGGTGAGGGAGTGTCAGTCAGAACTAGACTGATCAACAGGAGTCCACTGGGTTCCATGTGGGCTTAAGCCTTTGTCCAGACTTTCGGTGGCTCCCTGTGTTGTACTGGATACTAGGGGTGGGGGTGGGGATTGAGAAAGCTTTCCCTTTACTAGGGTTGCAAAGGTCTGTGGTGGAAACGTGGAATCCCAGGGGTTGTTTCACTCACTCACTCACTCACCCCTTCTCTTGTTAGAAATTCTCTCCTGGTTCTATGCCAGAGCTGACTTTGCAGGTTGCCTGGTCTTGCTCTACTCTGCTCTCTGTGGTCCCTGTCACTTCTCTGATGAACTTCAGGGTGTTCTCCAAAATGAGCCACTGACAGAGCTAGTGTTTACTTGCCATTTCAATCACTCTCCATGAGAGCACTGCCCTCTACATGCTTCTAGTCAACCATCTTAAACTGAAACTCTTTGGTAAGCCTTTGACCTGACTTGGGTCTCAGTTTCTCCATCTGAGGAGTGGAGCAGTAACAATACTTATCTCTCTGTACTTTGGTTGGGTAAGTCTGGAACGATGCTCTTTAAACTTCTTAGGGTGGTAATGACCATTTGAGGCTTCCTTATACTTCTCACTTGGGTCCCAAAGGGCATGAGCCATGAGGGTCTCTTCTTCTCATAATCCATTTTGAAAGGGAGTAGCGTTCTGGGAACACCTTACATCTAAAACTCACATCTGCCCTGTACTGCCTACTATCACTGCTTCTATCTTTGGCCGGTATTACAACAGAATATATCCTGTTTTTCATGGGTCTCCCCATATGTCAGGGCATTATGAAAGCTACCTCAGGATAGGATTTACCTCTATTGCCCCTATTTACATCCTCTACATATACCACAGCCCAAGGGGGCTAAATACTTGTTGACTGAAGAGGTACATGAGCGTTGTGAGAAGAGACTAAGAGACAGAACATGGTAGTTAGAATCCTAACTCTCCCCCTGACTTGTGGTGGGAACTTGGGAAAGTAGTTTCAGCTCTCTAAGACTCAATTTCCTCTTCTTGAAAACTTGTGATTTTAATACCTATCTTAGCCTCTTTACATAGTTGTTGTGGTGATTCAATGAAAGAAAAAAGGTGAACATGTTTGGAAAATTAAGTGTCATTCATGTGTGAAGAATATTTTTACAGTAACAATAGCCACGCCCACAAAAGGGAGGTAGTTGTTCCAAGGTTCCTAGTCTAGTCATACTGCTCAGGAATGCACTATTTTAGTCATCTTATGAACACTTTATACATCAAGCAATCAGAGCTAGAAGGACCCTTGAAGAAAAGTCATCAAGTCCAGTTCCCTGACATTACAGATAGAGAAACTGAGGACCAAAAAAGGAAGATATTTTCCCAGGTTCTACAGGATATCAAAACTGAGCTAATGATCCAGACCTCAGCTTTGGGATGCTGGGCTCTTACCTGTCTAGTTCTTCATCCAAGGATTGGTAGTTGACTTCATAGCACTCAATTCTCTTTAAAAAGTCCTCCAGAACCTTTTCCCGGTCACAGTCTATATAATCAGGGCTGCCAAGTTTCACTTGCTGGAAGCAGGGAGAAGGACAGAGGCACCAAGGGAGACATTGGGAGATGGAGACTATGACAGTGTCCTTAGGAAGGACCCTTAAAGACCATTGAGTACAACATCTTTCATTATAAAGGTAAGAAAACAGAGAATTGAAGAAAGGGTCATGCCCAAGTTTACAAAATCAGTCAACTGAAATTAAGTTGGACTGTGTGAACCCTGATTTCTAATCTCTGTGGGATTGACCATGTGGTCAAACAAGCCTTGTTATATTATACTCAGTCCAGAGTACACACTGCTTAAGAAGAACATTTATAAGAAGACCAGAAACTGTGATGTGAGAAATGGCTGAATAAAAGGAACTAGAGATCGTAGCCAGGGGTCATTATGGCTTACATGTACTGAGTATGTGCTGAGAAATTATGACATGCTGTCTTTGAATTTCTGAAAGGCTGGCATCTCCTAATCTTCTGATACCCACCATCTCTTTCCACAGTCCTTATCTCAGGGAGTGGCCCTTTCATCCACCCAGTAACCTGAGTCTAAATGAAATCTGGGAGTCATCTTAGATGTCTCTCTTTCTATGATCCTTCACCTCTTAGCAGGCACCAAACCCTGTGTACTGTATCTTCTCCTCTAGATATCCATTCTCTCTTCCCTGTGCTAACTATAGTTCTGTGGCTTATTGTATTATCTATGGTCGTGTTACTTTTGATGTATTTGCCATACTGGCAGTCAGAAGGATATTTCTAACATTCACATCTGGCCAAATCATTCTCTTGCTTAAAACACTTTTATATTTTCTCATATCTTTTAGGAAAAAGTTTGAACTATTTTAGCAGATGGTTCATGGCTTGTCATGATTAGGCCTCAAATTCTTTCATCATTTTCATATCTTACTAATCTCCCATTTCTCCACACATTTTGCTTTAGTCAAGCTAAGCTACTTATAGTTCCCTGGAGATGCTATACTTAGTATATGCTATTTCCTTATTTCCCATTCTTCACCCATCAAATTCCTATGCATTCTTCAATTATTACCTCCATTGGGAAGCCTTCCATTATATATTTCCCCATGTAAGTTTAGATTCTCACCTCAGTGCTTGCAAAGCCTCCTCTGTTTCCTCATCCCAGCACTGATCTCAGAGTTCTTTCTACATACTTGTCAGTCTCCCTCACTAGTCTGTGATCTCAGAGGAAGGACTCTCCTCTATCCATTTATAGGTCTCTAATATCCAGAATGGCCCAGCCCAGGTGTATAGTCAACTACTGTTGAATCAATAAATAGATGGATAGATGGTTGGATAAAGAGGGAAGTAAGAAACTGGATATGCTCTATGTCCTAACAGGTTAAAAAATGAACCAATGACTGAAAATTACAGGGAGGCAGATTTCAGCTTGACTGGAGAGTATTCATCAAAAGCTATGAACTTCTTGTCATTACAGGCACAAAACGGAAATCTAGAAAAACACTTAGCTGAGATTTCAAGTATCTGTTGGAAGGCTGAAGGAAATGACCTCTTTTGTCCCTAAGCTCCAATTATTTAATGAAGTAGGGAACAACAAAATGTGGTGAATGACTTAGCTCGAGATCACATGCCTAGAATATAAGAACAGTGATAGTTCTGATACAGATTGTGGGGCAGAATAAAGAACATAAGCTTTCAAGGAAGACAGCCAAACCTGAGGTCCAGGCCCACTTCTATCTCTTTCTGACTGTAAAATCTTTGACAACTCATTTATTTTCTTGGAACTTCAGTTTTCTCTCTCCAACATGGAAATAGTCCCTAATATGCAGGTTTGTTGTGAAAAATTACTGAGTCCAGCTTGGTGCCTAGTACATACTAAGGGTTCTATATATATATTGGCTTCATTTAATTTCATAAGATCCTTGTAGACCAGGATGGTTAGGGAATGTTTTCTATATGAAGTGGGAGGAGAAACTCAAAAAGGAATATCTTCTTGAATCTCATGGAAGTCTTTTTAGGCATGTTCCAAGTCTAAGGCAGAATAAAGAGGAGGAAAGGTAATTAGTACTCCTTACCCTGATATTTTCTGCAATGATGCCAGGGTCATTACAGATGGACTCGATGAAAAAGACCTATAAGAAACAGAAGAGAGATTTCCAGCAGGAGATTATGCTTGGTAGGAGCCAAAGATATCATGACCCCTTCTCAATGGCTCTCAGTCATCCTCAGGGGCATCTGTGACAACACGGTATTTTTATACAGCAATGCTTTCAGGCTTCGGGGTTTTATGAGGCAGATTGGTTCTAAGTTGAATGGTCCTAAACTGTTATTTTGTGTATTTACTGAGTTTTAGAATTTATGTAGGCTTTTTGTAGTGGTTCTCTCTACTCCTTTCTCACTGCCACCCCTCACAGTACCAATCTGTCAGCAGTCATCGTCCATTGACTAATGTGGCATCTCTCCTTTCCTGTTCTGCTTTGCTGCTTTTGACCTTATACTGGAAATCCACACAACCAAATTAAAATGTTGAGTCTATGATAGCTGACTTGGCTGCTCTAAGTTCCTTAATATGCTCTAGATAAGAATGGGAGTGTTATTGTACCTTATAACCATGTTCTTTGGCAAACTGCAGAATCAGTGATCGTCGTTCTCTGGTAGTGTTGGTGGCATCAAAAACCTAGAGACAGGTAATGAGATTGGGTTACTCTGAATGTGATGTTAATGGAACACTTACTCTTTGTCTATTCCTATGCTAAGTGAGGGCTTCCAGAAGGGGATAGAACTTGAACAGGGTCTTGAAGAATAGGAATGTTTTGGGATTGGCTTATGACAATTTCACAAGTACTCATCGAGCCCTTACTGTTTGCCCAGAAATGCACAATACCCTGTGAGTGTAATAAGCAAGAAGAAAATTGTGGGTTTTTATTAGGGCCATTTTACCCTAAAAAAAGAATTCCGGTGAAGTAACTCAGGACTAGAAGAAGAATCTGCCTTCACTAAAGTCATCAAGAGCTGTTGACAGAGCTCAGCTAGAACTGGTTCTCTCAACTCCTAGATGACACTTCTTTCCTTATCACCTTAGAAGTCCTCAAGAACAGGAACTAACTCCCTATCCTCGGTGCCTGAGGTGGGGCCATTTGCACATTTAATAATCTCCTCCCCCTTTAAAATTTGCAAATTCTATCCCAAGGGTCTGTGAGATTAAATTGACTAGATGTTTAGGTAAATCTGCAGAACTCAAAACTATTTATACTGCATTCTTAAACTCTAGCATAGTCCTGCTGAATTCTGGCAGTGGACTGGTAGAGCAGTAATTAAGAGTGGGGTTTCTGGAGTTATACAACCTGGATTCCAGTTCTGGCCCTGCCAGGTACAAATCATGCCACCTTGACAAATTATTTAATTTTTCTGTGAGCCATTCCTCTGGGCTCTAAAATGGGGATAACAATACCTATTTCATGGGGAAACATTAAATAAAATTATTAATATATAAAAAGCACCTTGAATGTTTGGCAAATAGTAAATGCTCAGTACACATAATCTGTTCTCCATCCCTGCAGATGACCTAAGGAAAAAATGGAAATTTCTTTACCGCAACATGACCTTCCTCACGGTTGAGATAACTGTGGACATCCTTCAGGGCTGCTAGGGCACACTGCCTGAAATAGAGCAAGAAAGAACCAGACACAATCCCTATCCCCTAGGATGCTTCCTTCTCTTTTTCTGCAATATCTTCTGTACCATCTCGCATATGTCTGCGATTAAGTTATTCATCTTTTGAACATCTACCTAGGGTTGCCTATGTTCTAGGCATCATGTAAAGCACAGAAGGGTCAAAAAGTTGAAAGTAGCTTAGGGGCAGACATGAACTAAAATACCCAGGAAAAGTTGCACAAGGATATAAGCCACAATATTAAGGACTCTGACTCTTGAGCAAATGGAAAGTTGAACTGGTTTATTAACCCATGTAGAGCCTGGTTATGTAGTCTGTGAAGTATAAGGCATTCTTTGCATGGGTAGCACTGCAAACATAGGCACAGCAGTGGCAATTTATTTTTCAGCAAAAATCTCTTAGTGACTTCTTGTTGCTGGGTTCTTTGATGAAGGCATGGATCAATAAAAGAGAACCAGGACCTGTGCTGAGATTGGATTGATGAGACTGGAGAGGCTAGAGTGGGCCAAGCTATTGAAACTCTTGTCTCAAATGCTAAGCTGAGAAATTTCCGTTTTGTTCTGTCAGAAGTAGAAGACTGTTAAAGGTTCTTGATAAGGGGATGGTTATGACCAGGAGCAGGCTTTGGGCAGGAGGATGAATGGGTTGTTCTGACTACTGTTTGAAAGTCTAGAGGGCCTCCTCCCTGGCCCAAATTACTCTGCCCCACTCCCTGAATATCTGAAAAAAGGACTCCTTCACCTAGGGGTCAGCACAGGTTCCTAAAATGTTGGTACTTACTTCCTGATTAGTAGGGCCTCCGTGTTGTCTGGGAGAAAGAATTCATAGTTCTTGTAGCTCACTGCCTCTCGTCGATACTGGCCTAAATTAAACACTGAAAGCAGGGAGCGCCAGTGAAGAGGTTGGGAAGATCCCAATAGTCAACAAACGTCCTTGCTGGGAGGAATCTCAGAGGTAGGAGAAGGTGTAATCTGTAGCTACAAAGCTTCAAATTATGGCTACCAGTTCATTTATTCCTCACAACACTCCTGGAAAGTAGGGATCACCATTTCCATTTACAAATTAGGAAAGTGAAGTTTAGAGACAGAAAATAATTTTCACAGTTAATAATTGGGGATTTGGGATTCAAACTCAGGTCTGTTTGGTTCCAAAGCTGGTGATCTTCCCACTATTCTACTTTATCACAAACTTCAATCCTTTAAATGTACTACTCCAGTGGAAAGATGAAAAAACTGAGATCTAGGGAGTAAAATCAATTACCAAGAGTCAAACTGGTGACAGATATAGTCTGGGCTTCCTGATTCCTAATCCAATATTATTTGAGCCAGGTTTTTAGGGTAGGTGGTTTTACAGGTAGGCATGGGGAGGTGAGAGTGGGGAACAAAGGCATTTTAGGTAGAGGAACAACTTGAGCAATGGTATGGCATTAGCAGAAGGCAGGGTATATTTGGAGGATGGTGAGTCATCTATGGTGGCTGAGGCCTGAGAGGCTGGAAGGGGCCAGTTGCAGAGGACCTTGAAGAACAGACGAAGGAGCTTAGATTTAAACCTGCAGGCCAAGGGGACCTTTGGAGGGTTCAGACATGATCCGTTTTGTCCTTTGAAAAATAACTTTGGAGGCATCTATGAGAATTAAATGGAATGGAGCAGAAAGGAAGCAGGAGGATCAGGGCAGAGACCCATCTGTCAGTGTCCCACATGCCCCTATGTTCAGCAAAGTCTCCTCAGAGCTTACAGTCTTCTATGAGAGCTGTTCCTTCTCTCTTTTCCCTGTACTGTTGTCCTATTGCTTCCACAGGACCCAGCTCAAACATACCCTATCCAGGAAGTTTTCACTGCCTTCCAGCTGATGAATCTCTCTGTGAATCCCCTCAGCACCCTGCTCCTGTTCTAGGATTCCTAGATAACCTGAGGTATTCTTACGCATTCAAACCAGGCTGAGAACTCCCCAAGGACAGGGCATGAGTCTATCCTTTTTTGCATTCCCAGTGCCTAGCATGGATTTTGGCACAGGGAAAGCCATTGGGGAACTTTTTTCCAGGGAATAAGATAAAGAGAATGTAGATGAAGGGAAAGAATAAATGGACAAAAGGGAACAGAAGACTTGGAGACAGAAAGGGATGGATGGAGGGAAGGGGGAAGAGAGCTAGGATATTGGGATGGGCAAGAAAAAGAAAAGAAGAAATAATGGAGAAAAGAAGAGTACATGGGCGATGTGTGATTTTTTTTCCCTTCCCATCAGTAGACCTGGCACAGTGAGTGCAGGCTTGGAATCAAACAGACCTGGGTTCATATCCTGGTTCTGTCACTTACTGGCCATGTGCCTTTGGACAAGGCACTTTACCTTTTGGGCCTTCATTTCCTCAACTATGAAATGGTGAAGAAGTGGTAATGCTAATAAAAGTTGTAATATTGGTGTAGCAATAATAGTAATGGTGATAAAAAATAGTATGTTACTCATAGGGTTGTTTTGAGGTCATGAAACCTCTTTAGAACAGACACTGAATCTTAATACTACTTTTCCTATGCCTAGCACCCAACATGTTATTGGGTACAGAGCATGTGCTCAAGAAATTATAAGATTTATAAGAATTGGAGGGGGGTGGTGGAACACAACATCAATAAGCGTACCTGATCTCAAGCCAGGTAAAGTGGGGACCAAAGGGAGGCCCAAACTTTACCTGTACAATGATCACTTGTATACCTAATCCTAAATTATACCCCACATCTTTAAAATAAAATTTAAAAAAATAAAAAAATGGAATTAAAAAGATTTATAAGAATGTAGTGGTAGTAGTAATCCTAATTCTTGAAATAATGGTGATGAGGCATTTCTGGTACTGAACCATTGGCCTGCTACCTTACTCAGTTTTCAGCCAGTGGTTTGTAGGGGTCTGTAAAACAAATGGTTTCAAAAACAAACCTTTAGTTGGTGTTCCTATCCAGTTGAGATATCGTGTGAGCTTCGTGGAGATGTAGGTCTTGCCTCGCGCTGGCAAACCCACCATGATCACCATCGTGGGGGAATTGGTAAACTGGGGTATGGATGCTGGAAAATAAGCAGAGTCTCAAAAGCTTATCCTTAGACTCATATGATCTTCTGGTATTAGCTCAGAGATTCAGAGTTGGAAAGAGCATCTCTCCCACAATAACACATTGAAAAAAAGTTGGGAAATCGAAAATTAATGACTTCTCTTGAACTCATATGAAAACAGACTGCAGTACAAATAGCTAACCCCAAGCCTGTAGAAACATGCATCTGAAGGAAGCCCCAGGCTCCAGGCATTTTCTTACTTGGTGCAGATATCACTGAACAATATATAAACTCATAAGGAGATTCAGTTACAAATTATTAATGAATTGTTAAAGGCTAGTTGTGAGCTAGGTTGAGAATATGAAGCCAGTAGGGGCTGCGGACATGGCAATTTTGCACCCTTTGCAGACTTTTTCTCCTACCAGGTGCTGACTGAGAAGAATTCTGAGAAAGATATCCTGTAGTTCTGGCTTGGGGAGGGGAACAGAACAGTAGCCATTGCTGAAATTCTGCCTAGACCATTTGCACTGTCTTCCCCGTGGAACAAATGCCTTAATATTCAAGGGGGGAAAGACTATAGTATCTGTAACTTGAGAGTACTGGTGGAAACTCACTGCAGCTGGCAGAGTGAAATGGCCGACACCACTAAAACTCTTCCCAGACAAGTCTCCCCTATGGGAAAAATGGCTTAACACTCAGAAGTAAGAGTAACAGAAACTGAGGACACTGGTGGAAATTCATGATAGCTGGGGGATAAAAAATGGGGAAAAATGTTCTAACCCAGGAAGGGCAGGAAAACATGCTAGGCCCACCATTACATTTGGAAGAGGAGCAGGAACACTTGTGAAGGTCACACCTCCAAAACCCAGAGTAAATAAATAAGACTAAGGCTTAATCAGAATAGTACAGAATGTCCCTGCCCCCCTATTCCCTGCTACCAGGCTAAAAAATATTAGTAAAAATCATAGTGGAATAAATCTATAAGGGATAAATTGTCTCCAGGGAGCAGCACAAAGGGAAGAATCAAGGCAAGGGAAAAAACGTAGTCTGAAGAGACAAAGCAATCATCAGTAACAGAATCAGTTATGATGTTGGAAATATCAAACAAGGAATTTAAAATAGCTATGATCAATATGTTAAAGGCTCTATTAGAAAAGGTAATTTCAAGCTGGATGCAGTGGCTCAAGCCTGTAATCCCAGCACTTTGGGAGGCAGAGGTGAGAGGATTGCCTGTCTGAGACCAGTCTGGGCAACTTGGTGAGACCTTGTCTCTACAATAAATAAATTAATTGGGCACAGTGGCATTCACCTTTGTTTCACCTACTTGGAAGGCTGAGGCAGAAAGACTGCCTGAGCCCAGAAGGTCAAGGCTGTGGTAGCCATTAGCATGCCACTATACTCTACAGAGGGAGATTTTGACAAAAAGAAAGAAAGAACGAAAGAAAGAAAGAAAGAAAAAAAGAAAAAGTAATTTCAGCAGGGGATGGAAGGTATAAGAAAATCAAATATAAATGTAAGAGAGAAAAACATAGTAACAGATCTGAAAAATATCTTAGATGTGCTCATCAATTGACTTGGCACAGCTGAGGAATCAGTGAACTTGAAGATAGGTTAACAGAAATTATGCAAACTGAAATGCAGAGAGAAAAATAGACTAAAGAAAGAAAACAGGAAAAAGACTCAAGAATTCTGGGACAATATCAAATAGTATAACATATATGTAAAAAAGTATAAAAAGGAAACTAATAGGGCAGAAGAAATATTTGAAGGCATAATGGCCAAAATTTTCCAACATTAGTGACTGACACCAAAGAACAGATCCAAGATGCTCAGAGAACATCAACCAAGGTAAATATAAAAAACAAACAAATAAATAAACAAAACCCATACCCATATATATCAAATTCAAATTGCAGAAAATTAAGACAAAAATAAAATCTAGAAGGCAGCCAGGAAGGAGGGAGTGGCTGGGGAATACCTTACCTACAGATGACAAAGAGAAGAATCATACTAGACTTCTTGTCAGAACCACATAAGCAAAAAGACAGTCAAATGAAAACTTTAAAGTGTTAAAAGAAAAAATGACAATTCAGAATTTTAAATTCTGGAAAAATGTCCTTCAAAAATAAGGTAAAATAAAGACTTTTTCAGATAAACAAGAACTGAGGAAATTCATCATCAGCAGACCTGTCTTACAAGAAATATTAAAGAAAATTCTTTAGGCAGAGGGATATAATATAGGTCAGAAAATGAGATCTATGTGATTAAAGAAAGAGAGTTGCAAAAGGAATAAATGAAGGTAAAATATAACTTTATTTTTCATATTCTTAATTAGTCTAAAATACAACCAATTGTTTAAAGCAATAATAGTGACAATGTATTGTGTGCTTATAGCATATGTAAAAATGTAATGGAATACAAAAATGACAAAGAATGGGAGGAAGGAATCGGGAATATTCTGTAATTAACTACTTGCACTACATGTGAAGCAGTAAAGTACTATTTGAATGTGATCCTAAATTATCTAAAAATGTACATTGTAAATGATAGAGAAATCATTTAAAAAGTTTTTTTAAAAAGACATTTAAATGATGAGTAAATACGGGAAACAAAAATGGGATTATAAAAAAATGGTCAAGTAAAATGAGAACAGACAGAAAGCAGATGGTTAGGGTTAGGGTTAGGGAACAAATACAATAAACAGAAAAAAGCAAGAACAAATATAATAAATGTAAAACAGAAAGATGGTAGATTTTAATCCAACCATATTGGTAACCAGTTTAAATGTGAATTGCCTAAACATTCCAATTAAAGACAGAAATTGTCAGATTGGATAAAAAAGCAAGACCCAACTACATGCTGTCTACAAAACATAGATAGCTAGGTCCAATTCTGGAACTTTCTTTTATCTCTCACTAACTCAAATAAAATGTTGATAGAATGCATGGATATTTATATGAAAACTAAAAAGTAATATAGGTAGGTGGATCAGGGAAGGACACCAGAGTTGAAGTACCACCTAAACATTTGTGAGTTCAACATTTTTTTTCCCTTCAGTTTTCTGAGCCTGAATTCAACATGGTGTGAAATCCAAAAGTGAGCAATGTTGAGCAGACAGAGTGAGATGCAGGAGAATCTCTGAAGTTGGGCTTAAGGAATGAACAAGAGAAGTAAAGTTCAGAGAAAATGAGGGAAATCCTTTGGGTTTTTATTTACACTACTTCTTTGGTTCTTCAGTGGATGCAGCAAACAACAAAGCCCAGAAGTAAGAGTGGCCCAAAACTGGAGCCTCCAGGAATCAAAACTCTGTGGTAAACCAACAGTGTTAAGAGGACACAACTAGACTTCATACTAGTTTCTTCTCTTTCTCTCCCCTCCTGCAACTGGTTTCTAGAAGTGGTACAACCATGACAATGGGTAGTTTCTGAATAGACGACAGAAAATGGGAGCCCAGGGAACTGGAAAGTACTGAAAAGATAAGGGAGATGTAAGAGTTTTAAAAAGCAACAGCATAAAATTGATTTGAATCCCTGGGTTTATTTCTGTACTATGAGTACTTTGATCCTAATTAGCATAACAAAGAGTTGGAAACTCAACTAGCAAGTAGACCTCCACCCAAATCCCAGACTGACTACTAGGTGGTACACACACAGAAGAGACCTAAGTAGTACTGCAAAAGTCTTGAAAACTGAAATGATGCTGGAATCACAATACACAAAAGGCTAAGAGAAAAAAATATTGACCTTCTCTATTGGATGTAAAAAAGATTCAAATCTAAAAAAAAGTACAATGTCCAGGATACAAATTAAAATTAATCAGTATGCAAATAACCATAAAAATCTCAACTCACATGGAAAAAGAAAATCAACAGACACTAATGATGAGATAAGATGCTAAAGTTATCTTAAATTATTTATTATAAAAATGCTTGAATGAACAATAACAAATGATCTTGGAACAAATATTAAAAATAGAAAACTCAGCAAAGGAATAGAAGATACATACAAGAATCAAATAGATATTTCAACTGAAAAATATAATAACTAAAATAAAAATACCAGGAATTAAAGAGGAGATACAAACTTCATAGATATTAAAATTATTAAAAGGGTATACAATGAACAACTCTGAGCACATAAATTTGACAAATAGATATAATGAAAAAAATTCCTCAAAAAGCACAAACTGCCAAAACTTGCTCAAAATGACATAGATAATCTGAACTCTTCCATAACTATTACTGAAATTAAATTTGCAATTAAAAATCCTTCAAAAGAAAATCTAGGCTCAGATGGTTTCACTGGTAAATTTTACCATACACTTAAAGAAGAGGCTAGATGTGGTGGCTCACACCTGTAATTCCAGAACTTTGGGAAGTAGAGGCAAGAGGATTGTCTGAGCCCAAGGGGGCTCAAGACCAGCCTGGGAAACTTGGTAAGATCTCATGTCTACAATAAACAATGGTATAAAAAAAGAAAACTACAAATTAATATTCCTCATGAATACAGAGTCCTTAAAAGAAAAGCAAACCAAATTTGGCCATATATAAAATAAATAATTAATATATCACAAACCTAGTTTATCCCAGGAATAAGAGACTGGCTCAATATATGAAAATCAATCAAAGTAATCCATCTTAAAGAAGTAAAACCCATAATATGGTTTGAACGTGTCCTCCTCAGTTCACGTATTGGAGCTTAATCCCCAGTGCAACAGTGTTAAGAGGTGGTCCCTTTAAGAGATAATGAAGTCGTGAGGGCTCTGCCCTCAAGAATAGATTGATAGTGTTATCCCTGGAGTGGGTTAGTTAATTCAGAAGAGGATCAGATAAAAAGGATGAGTTCAGCCCCCTTTCTTTCTTGCTCTCTCTCTCTTCAGTGCATGTGTGTGCTCTCCTACCTTTCCACTGCCCCTGTTCATAGAAAACTGGCCCGTTCATAGACAACATGATTGTCTGATTGTCTATATAAAAAAAAAATCCTAGGAAATCTATTTTTAAAAAACCCTTCTAGAAC